GAGTTGATAGTCCAATCTATTCCTATAATCCAGGAAGTTTGTTACAATATAAACACTGTCAGAATTAGTCATTCACCATTTTTCAACCAAATACAGAAATACAGACACAAGGGGGTGGGGNAAATAAAATTCTACAAAAAAATTGTGTCTATTTTCGTAATTTTTTATTTTAATATTGTACACAGATTATCAAGGTTAGCTAACTTTGTTAACAATTGAGCTAGAAATGATCCTGAGGCTGACCAAACTTCAACAGGCGAGTTGATAGAATGAGGCACACAATCTTTTAGTGTTCATCTCAAGTCCAATCTATTCCTACACTTTGATGATATGGTATGATATTGATTAATGCATTTAATTAAGAAATGAAAATTAACACAAAAAATCATTTTCATGAGCGTTAAAGTTTAAGGATCATTTAGTTAAATTCAAGTCTCATTTTGACCTTTACAAGAATTTTTCCTTAAATTTAGGGGCTTTTAGGGCCTTTCATCAATTTTAGGGCTTTTTAAGGCCAACATTTTGTTTTAGGGCCTTTTCCTTCCTGTAAAAACAAGTGATATAATTTCAATTTTATGCAAAGAAATTATGTACCAGAAACACAATTTCTGATTTTACGCTTTTTTTTCTAACAGATATGATTATGGCTTTAATGATGCTCTACCATATAATTCTGTAATTGTCAGGGTCCTGTGGTTTCCACTAGGTAGCGCCCCCTAGTGAGTTAACTCTACAGTCATGCGTCTTTTTATATTAGTGTGATATATTATAATCTCTGCAGCTCAACAGGAACATATGTCTTGGTGACAGTGTCAATTTGGCCGAACGTCTCGGGGAAATGTACGAACTGTACAGACTAATGTTGGGTTTCGTACTGATACGTAGATGCTGGTAGATTAGGTAACGCAGTCAATTCACACACTCGCATCACAGCATATTAACACTGTCAAGTAAAACGAAATCCTACAATTAAGCTAAATCAAACCGAAAATTGTAATTTCCTTTTTGTTCAATCATTACGTTGTATTTTCCACGTAAAAACCAACACCTCATCGCTGAGATTATACTCACGATTGATTTTATAAAGTAAAGTTGACATTTCATTGGTAGGTGTTTCTAAATTTACAGTGCTTTCGTTTCCTCGCCGACATACGTTATAACCTAGTTAATTAGACGTCACACCACCCCATTATTAGCTGATCGTAAGATTAAATGTCTTCCGTGATACGGGACAATCACCTAGCTCTTTATCTAATCTTTATCTCTTGTTTTTAACTCATTCCCCCCTGAAATTTCATAATGAACTATTCCAACCTTTGAATTGGAAGAGTTCAAATGTGTCTTCAGGGGTGAATGAGTTAATATACATCTTTGTTTCTTGCTTTACTCTTTGTTGAATTTTTCTTTAATCATTTGAGCGAATTTCGCAATGATGAAACAAAAATAAAATACCCTATGTGATTTGCATTAATGCCAAGAACATATATACTTTCAGCTATTAGAGATATTTGATCCTGTTTAATATACTATTCTAATTTTTCGTTTTGTTGTTATGTAATATTATTTTTTATCAGGAAATAGGTCTTGTATCAGGAAGTTTATATAAAAGCTGTTAATGGAATCAACACCAAACTAGATGCACACAAAAAGTAATTCACAAATTTATATATCATTTATCAAGAATGCACTTTAGGTAAAAATGTGTTTGGCTTCCTGTTAAAAAGTGCCATTAAATTCCATAACTCGTAAGGAAAGTCGTTGATGCTCAGCCTGATTTAGTTATGCATGCTCCTTTGTAAAATGTTTGAGACAGCTGTGTATCAGTATATTTGGTTAAACTAGTTATTAGGGGTAAGTAACACCAGCCCATCATATGTATGATATAGCTGTCTATCTGTATAACTAGGTAGACTAACTCATATAAAGAGTAGGTAATACAAACCATTCACATGTTTGATACAGCTTGTGTATATAACTGGGTAAACTACTATTAGTGTAAGTAACACCAGTCCATCCCATGCATAATACAGCTGTCCATCTATATAACTGGGTATACTACAGCCATTAGTGTAGTAAATTAACTCCAGTCCATCCCATATATGATATAGCTGTTTATATGTATAACTGGGTAGACTAAATCATTTAAGGAGTAAGTTATACAAACCCATCACATGTTTGATACAGCTTGGTAGACTACAGCTATTAGTGCAAGTAATACCAGTCCACCACATGCATAATAGAGCTGTCCATCTATATAACTGGCTAGAGTACAGCAATATGAGTGTAAGTAACACCAGTCCATCACATATTTCAGTTAGCTGTCCTTCTGTATAACTGGACATACTATTGCAATTAGTGTAAGTAAAATCAGCCCATCACATTTTATACACCTGTCCATTTGTGTAACTGGGTAGATTAAAGCCATTAGCAGTAACATCAGCCCAATCATGTTTGATACATCTGTCCATCTGTATAACTGGGTAGAATATAGACTACTATTTCAATACTTGCTGCTTGTGAATGTGTGCCATTCACAACCAGTATGCTTACACTACATTATTTTAAAAGGGCACTGAACTTGTCAATCAATAATTACATCACAAGTCATTCTAAAAGAAATATATATTTGTGACTTACACTCAATCAGCTTTTTGCATTATATTCAGGAAGTTAATCATTAGCAATATGTGCACATTATCATCTATGTTCCTGAAAGGTTAGTTTTAAAATACATACAACGTTATACTCAGAGAGACAGACTGATACATTTACAGAAGAAAGTGAAAGCTGGAGTGAAAAAGGTGTGAAGTTTGTTGAAGATTGTTTTAAGCTTTGTTAACCCTTTCACCTCTATGTAACTTTAGTAGACTCTACCATGCATTGATCTGGATGACTACATTATGGTCTATAGTGGTGAAAGGGTTAAGCATTAAAAATAATCAACCTTCATAGGTATGCCATGCTTGTATCAGAGAGAAATATCTAAGTTATATCGTAATCAAATTAAACAAATATTCTTTGCATTTATCATAGAGAAAACAATATTACCACAGTTGGTTGTAACATACATTTATCACCATGCACATCTTGACATCGGTGACTTGGATTAATTCATGTACAATTTTAAATAGAAACAATAAAGTCAACAAGTCACTTTTTTTTTTATATAAATTAATGGAATATCAGTCAGTGTCACATCAATAGAAGGTTGTCAATACTTAGTAGTCTTCAAAATCAAAAGAAGTTAAAGATATGGTTATAGGAAGTGGATCTCAACTGTTTCCAAACTATTCCAAAGGACCCATGTCCTCAGGGGCATGGCAAGATCCCTGAGTCATTCCTGATAGCATTGTCGAATTTGCCTTTTCCTGTCTATCAATTTTATATGGGTTATGGGGTGTAGATCTTGACTGTTTAGAAGTTATGTTTCCAGGGTAAAGTCTTTACGGGAGGGCTTCAACCCTGGGGCAATCTCTGGTAGCATTATGTACATTGGGGTAGGGCCAGACCCTGGAGCCAATCCTGATAGCATGATTGTGTTTGTCTTTTCATATCCAGTAATTGTATAGAGAGTAGATATCACAACCATGTCTGTCTGTACATTTTTTAATCATCACTGCCTAAGGATGCCTCCTGAACGAGATATGGTTGATACGGATAACAAAGTTCCAGAGAACTTACAGGATTTGATTACTGCAATGTGGGCAAATTATCCCTTCTTGGGCCTGCCACTCAGCCTTTCCATTTGTACAATATTGAATCCAGATCATCTACGGATGATTTCAGTCAAATTTAAATTCCATAAACAGTTCAGAAAGAAGTCTTTTCCAGAAACTGTTGACGGTAGATAGAATCATGATGGTAAGCTCACCTATGTTCTGCAGACAGGTGATCTAATGATGTTATATATTAGTTCTTCATTTTGTATTTATGTAATAATGTTACATTTTCCAATAACATATACCGTAATAATTTTACACTTCAAAAATTATGTACTCAATCTTCTGTATTTATACTTTAAGACTTCATTAAAATTCAAAATTCTTCTTAAATGTTTCATTTTAAATTCTCTGCAATTATTTCACTGCTTCTATTGAAGATGTTATATCTAAACATTACATAAGAGATATTTCACTATTTTATTTCATACCCGTTAACTAAACTCTAACCTAGGTCCGATGGAGAATTGAGATCATCCTTGGAGTTGAGAACCTTTTGTGACCTGCTGTAAATAACGCCTCTCACAGCTTGGTAATGCAGGTCCATACACTCTCGTCGATTGTAAAGGTTTCATTATCATACGTCATGTCAACACTAAGAAAGCTGTCAGTACATGTTATTTTGTTCTACTAGGGAAGAGAACCATCCACAGAGCAATGAGCAAAGAGTGACAACTCTTACAATTCAGTAAAACTCGAAAATCTTTTTTTTTTTTTTTTTTTCCTTATCTCAACATGCTTATGTGGGTGATTTTCTTCCCATGCATAAAAAAACAGAGTTCATCAGGGACTTAATCATATGGAAGAGCTTTCCCTTGGAATTGATAAAACAATATAGCTTTTTTCTTCAAATTTCATACAAAAAAGTATTTTTTTGAAGAAAAAATATATTTATTTATGATTGTATCACTCAAATTTTTCTTCTTCTTAAGATAGTGAAGCAATCTGGATTAAGTTATGATCTGTATATATATATATCCTCAAATTCAAAATCAAATTCCGCCCAAATCAAATACATTTTTAGAAGAAAATGTTTGCTATTTAGGTTTTGATAATATTTTGCTCACAAGATTTTTTTGTGTTTTAATTTCATGAAGCCAACAACTTTACAGGGAATAGGTCTCTGCCTGTAACTCCCCCAAAAGTAACTAAACCTCCCCTGCGAGCGAGTCTAATGAACTCTGGGAAATAGAGAAATACTCTACCAAGGCATTTGATGCAAATCGCAGTATGGAGAGAGTGATCATTGGTAATAGATTGGTTGATAGTTAGCAAACTCACCCCTCATTGGGGTCATCCCCCTGGAAAGAAAGAAAACAGTCATTAAATACATCATATATATATATGGTGATCATTGTATGTTTTCAGTAAAACTTCAACAAAATGTCACACATTGTACTTATAAACAATTCCTTTTGTCTTAGAACTGAAAGTTTTCTAGATTCTGTTTCCTTCTTTAAAAATGCTGAAAAAAAACCTGTTCCTACCATATGACTTTTTTAAGGTATTTTTCTTGCTTTTACAACATTTAAGTATTTCCAATTTATTTAATTTCCCGTTTCTGTTTTTGTGACCAACTTATGCAATTTCCCCATTTTTGTTATATCAGCAGATATATTGAATGCTATTGCCAAAATTCTGTTTAGCTATACCGATGTAAGCATACCATTGTTTGAATTGTATGTGTTCATGCATGTATAACACTCTAATACTTCATAATTGTCAAATAGATATACCCACACCTAACGGGAGATGTTAGAAATGGTTTGGATAAGCAGTCATTTATTTGGATGACCACTACAGTATAGAAAACTATTTGTTTTTCCATTGTATTGGGAAAAAACCTAGCTCAGTGTTTTTTCTCTTCAATTGTTCTTTCAAGGTATTTTGTGAAGAAAAAAAAAATCACAACTTTTTGGAAAAATTCAAAAGTTTGAGTTTAAGAAATAAGAAACATACTTTGGGAGAATAAAACTTCAGTGAGAAAAAATGGTTTACTGATTTGGAATTAAAAATCTAGTTTGGTAAGAAAAATGTCAATATTGCATTGGAAATGAGATCGTTTTGTGATCCCAGTAATTTATGCAGGAAAGCTCTTATTTCAAACAAACCACAAAGACTTTAGACTCAAGTTTTCGTAATGATTTTTTTTTTTGGCTGGTTCTTTGATGCTACTGATAGGTTAAATGTTCCACATAAAGCAGACTGTACAAGCAAAGTCATAAACCCAGGGCAATGTAAGTATTCGTCATTTCATACAAACACGGGTTTTATTCCACATTAGGTTTGGTCGACTTTCATCAAACGAAACACCCAAGTTACACCCTACATACATCCTAGACGCCTTTCTATTTCTCTTTCTTTTCACCACAGAAGGGCTAGTCCATCAAGGCTCCATAAAATTTTGTGATTTGAAGAGAAAGTTATAAGTGGATGCAATATCCCAAGGCATGAAACCCTTCAGTGTTTTGTTAAATACACATTTAATGTCTGGCTATACACTCTAACTCAAAGAAACGGCTCAGGACGCCATTAAGGTATATATGTAGGTAATGGGGTTCATTTAAGTGTTCGTCCAACATAACCCTGAACCAGCAAATCATTAACCATTTTTTCTTTCATTCTTTCTATTTATTTAAAATTTCATTTCATAATACATTTATGATGCAATCTCTGATTCAGTTTTCCAAAAATAGATACGCTAGTTGAGGTATTGCTAAGTTTGAAAAAAATAAAATGATTGAAACTTCTTTTTATGAAATGTATTTAATTATCAAAGAAAAGCACCACTAATTTTGCCTATATTATGAATTTCAAAAGAAGTATACGAGAGTGTTAATATACACTGTGCAAAAACACGATTCGTAAATGTTGTCAGTCGCCATTTGCAAGGACATGGTAATTAAGGTTTGTAGATAGGAATTAATTAACACAGGAGGGTTTCCATCCGTCCAACCTCAGGGCTGGGTGTAAGAATAGAGAGACAAGTTAATTATCAGTTCACCTTATGAGAGTGAGGACTGGGGGTTAGGTTTGTAAGATGAAAGTTAAGATTAGAGGGACAAGTTTTATCTTTCCACCCTGTGGGGGCATTGGTTGGTATAGTAACATGAGAGAGCTAATACAGATGTACTAGTAAGTTGCATCATTCCACCCTGTGAGAATTTGGGCAGGGTGAAAGATATGAAAGTGTTGAAGACAGGAGAGTCAAGTTTTCGTCCTCCACCATGAAGAGTTTAGGTAATAGGTGCATGACTCCATGGATAAGTTTAATGCCTCCATCATGTAAGTCTGGGTGCAAGACAAGTTCTACCACTCCACCCTATGAGGATATACCAGCAGGGTGTGAGATGACAATATGGAAGACAGAAGAGTAACGTTTTATTCCTCCACCACATAAGGGCATTTGGATGGTGAAAGATGACAATGTTAAAGACTAGATAGAAAATCTTCAACAAGATTCGTCAGTTTGGATATATGTGATGTCAAAGTTTTACTTTTTACACAAACAATGTACGTATTAAACGTATCGCAACGTTTCAAGACTGACTGGTCCCTTTGTCAAGCTAACTCTCATGACGAGCGAGTTATTTTATTAAAGCCCTCTAAATGCCTGAATTCTTGGACTAAGGCCTGTCCTTTGATAGCTTAACAAAGGGACCAGTCAGTCTTGAAACGTTTTCGACACGTTTAATAATACATTAATTGTGTAAAAAGTAAAACTTTGATATAAGATAGTAAAGTTTTATTCCTCCGCCACGTAAGGGTGAAAGATGACAGTGTACAGATTTAGACTAAAGAGACAAGTTTGATCACTTCCTCCTCTGAGAGTTTGAGCAGGCTGTATTGAAGACAGAAGATTGAGTGAGAGAAGGTGTATAACTCCATCATGAAGGGTTTGGGTTAAGTGCATGACTAGAAAGACAAGTGTTATTCCTCCGCCACTTAAGGATGTGGACAGGGTATAAGACTAAAGAGACAAGTTTGATCACTTCATCCTCTGAGAGTTTGAGCAGGCTGCATTGAAGACAGAAGATTGAGTGAGAGAAGGTGTATTACTCCCACATGAAGGGTTTGGGTTAAGTACATGACTAGAAAGACAAGTTTTATTCCTCCACAACTTAAGGATGTGGACAGGGTACAAGACTAAAGAGACAAGTACTCCACCCTGTACAGATATGGCTTGAATGTTAGATGAAAGATTTTTTAGGACTTAAGAGTACAACAAAGTTTTATTCCTCCACCACATAGTGAGTGGACAGGGGTGTAAGACATACCCTGTAGGTCCAGGCAGGCCTGTGGTGGGTCTGTAGGAATCAGAATCACACAATATATACAAACGTACTAATATGGACATTAAAATATAATGTGATAAAACCCAGCAATAGGGAAAATTGACTAAAATAGCTACCCTTTTACAAAATCTTCACAATATACCTAAAGCTACGTATACCCATCATGTATACTAAATTGTTTTAACATTAATCAAAGCGGAAAGTAGCATGAGTTTGGACAAAATTATAAATCGAAATCAGCAAACTGGTAAATTAAAGCATATTTGCACAACTTCTCAGTTGGTGATTACATTTGTGAAACTTTCATGATTTAAATCAAAACTAAAGGAGAAGTTTACTGATATTGATGTAGGAGAAGATTACTGATATTGATGTAGGAGAAGTTTACTTATATTGATGTAGTAGAAGTTTACTTATATTGATGTAGGAGAAGTTTACTGATATTGATGTAGGAGAAGTTTACTGATATTGATGTAGGAGAAGTTTACTGATATCGATGTAGGAGATGTTTATTGATGTAGGGGAAGTTTAATGATATTGATGTAGGAGAAGTTTACTGATATCGATGTAGGAGAAGTTTACTGATATTGATGTAGGAGATGTTTATTGATGTAGGAGATGTTAATTGATGTAGGGGAAGTTTACTGATATTGACGTAGGAGAAGTTTACTGATATTGATGTAGGAGAAGTTTACTGATATTGTTGTAGTAGAAGTTTACTTATATTCATGTAGGAGAAGTTTACTGATATTGATTTAGGAGAAGTTTACTGATATTGATGTAGGGGATGTTTATTGATGTAGGGGAAGTTTACTGACATTGATGTAGGAGAAGTTTACTGATATTGATTTAGGAGAAGTTTACTGATATTGATGTAGTAGATGTTTATTGATGTAGGGGAAGTTTACTGACATTGATGTAGGAGAAGTTTACTGATATCGATGTTGGAGAAGTTTACTGATATCGATGTAGGAGATGTTTATTGATGTAGGGGAAGTTAACTGATATTGATGTAGGAGAAGTTTACTTATATCGATGTAGGAGAAGTTTACTGATATCGATGTAGGAGAAGTTTACTGATATTGATGCAGGAGAAGTTTACTTATATTGATGTAGGAGAAGTTTACTGATATTGTTGTAGTAGAAGTTTACTGATATTCATGTAGGAGAAGTTTACTGATATTGATGTAGGAGAAGTTTACTGATGTTGATGTAGGGGGTGTTTATTGATGTAGGGGAAGTTTATTGATGTAGGGGAAGTTTATTGATATTGATGTAGGAGAAGTTTTCTTATATTGATGTAGGAGAAGTTGACTGATATTGATGTAGGAGAAGTTTACTGATATTGATGTAGGAGAAGTTTACTGATATTGATGTAGTAGAAGTTTACTGATATTCATGTAGGAGAAGTTTACTGATATTGATGTTGGAGAAGTTTACTGATATTGATGTAGGGGATGTTTATTGATGTAGGGGAAGTTTACTGATATTGATGTAGGAGAAGGTTACTGATATTGGTGTAGGAGAAGTTTACTGATATCGATGTAGGAGAAGTTTACTGCTATTGATGTAGGAGAAGTTTACTGATATTGATGTTGGATAATTTTACTGATATTGATGTAGGGGATGTTTATTGATGTAGGGGAAGTTTAATGATATTGATGTAGGAGAAGTTTACCGATATTGATGTTGGAGAAGTTTACTGATGTTGATGTAGGAGAAGTTTACTGATATCGATGTAGGAGAAGTTTACTGCTATTGATGTAGGAGAAGTTTACTGATATCGATGTAGGAGAAGTTTACTGATATTAATGTTGGAGAAGTTTACTGATATTGTTGTAGTAGAAGTTTACTGATATTCATGTAGGAGGAGTTTACTGATATTGATGTTGGAGACGTTTACTGATATTGATGTAGGGGATGTTTATTGATGTAGGGGAAGCTTACTGATATTGATGTAGGGGATGTTTATTGATGTAGGGGAAGCTTACTGATATTGATGTAGGGGATGTTTATTGATGTAGGGGAAGTTTAATGATATTGATGTAGGAGAAGTTTACCGATATTGATGTTGGAGAAGTTTACTGATTTTGATGTAGGGGATGTTTATTGATGTAGGGGAAGCTTACTGATATTGATGTAGGGGATGTTTATTGATGTAGGGGAAGTTTACTGATATTTATGTAGGAGAAGTTTACTGATATTGACGTTGGAGAAGTTTACTGATATTGATGTAGGAGAAGTTTACTGATATTGATGTAGGAGAAGTTGTGCAAACATCACTTGATTGGGAACTTTGCTAAAAAAAAGAGCAGTATATAACACTCATGAAAATAGAGAGATTAAAAAGAAGGCACAGATATACATGTAATTTTACAGTATGGGGATTAAATTTCAACTATGCAATTCAGATGTAAACTGTAGGTGTTGGACAAACAAGATTCTGTCTACATACAGATGGACCGACAACCTAATTCCAGGACATAACCCCTAAGGTTGTGGTCAGGATATTAACCCCCTCCCCCCAATTAAATTTGTTACTAGAGGTATATATGTCCTATGGTTGTGTCGATACTTACCGTTGTATAGCAGGGAGGGAGGGGTAGTGATTGACCATGGGTTGTGGTCAGGATATCCCCCCCCCCCCCCAAA